ATGTAGAAGTAGAAGTAGTACTTAGTTCCTTTGTTAATTACAATTAAAGAACTAAACGCTCAGAAATTTGTGTTACTCCTACATTAAGCAACACTGAAGTTTCTTGAAACATTTAGTAACCCCTAACAGTTCATTTCCTTTTCCTATCTGTTTTAGCTTATTAGCTGCTTATGTGCTTTAATATTGCTCTACCTGAGTGAAGGCTATTTTTGCTATGGACTTCAGAACTTCTGCATGTGCTATTTGTAGGATCAAATGTTCTTTTAGACGGCAAAGGGAATGTGAAATTAGCTGACTTTGGGTTATCAAAAACAATTCAGGTAAAAATAGTGAACTGTATGTAGTAATTAGACTCGTGTACTGTATATGCCTTCGTCGGTCCAAATTTAACAGTAGATAATGTATATGGAGCCCGAAGTTCTTTGTTCTGTTTCTTTGTTCGCTTTTTTCGTCTTGACCGGGCATAAAACACAATAGGAGTTTACTTCCGTCTGAGCAGCTAGCCTTTCAGTTTCGTAATTCAGGAATATTTACGCAGAGTGTATGAGCGCAAAACAAAACATTGCGCACGGGCGGGAACCTCTCAACATATTAACTGGTGGCACTTTTGTTAGCTCCTTTGAAGTTTGCCCGGCTTCATAACAATTTGGAGTCTCCCCTCATTAACTATGGTCAGTGTTGACAAGTCCCACTAAGAGCCGAATAGCTACCTCCTGCTGATAGGCCATGCCAGCGGAGTTGTTGCTGCTGCCAGCTGGACTCAGTTGATAGGCGTAAAACGTCCGAGCGCAAAGACGCAGATTTGAATACGAGAAGGAGTTGTATTCAACCTTGTTAGCTTAGAAAACCTCTCGCCAGTATTGTATCTATTCCACGTGATACATGCCGCTTATTTTCGGAAAATAACCACTTTTCGTGCAATCTTTTTTCTCCAGAAAATTGGAAGTGAAACAGATTTCAAATCTGCTCGGGGTACTTTGTATTATATGGCACCGGAGATATCCGGGGGTCAAGGATATGGACGGGAAGCGGATATCTGGTAGGCTTAAAGGACAAACACTGCTTTTCCTTTCCTTTTCTCGATATTCGTTGGGTTGTCCACGAAGAAACAAACACGGGAAAAGAAGATAGGTTTAGTGCATTCCTCGTCATGTAAGGTTTTGCTTGGAGCCATTTTAGCTTGCAGCCTCGTTCCCAGAAACCATTATTCTTTTAGTTAGCACTACAAATGTGGAACTCTGAGCGAAATCAGAAGCTGAACCCTGCTGCATTAATCACAGTGGTTACTCTCTTTACTCATGTTGAAAGACGATCATTAAATTTGAACCTTTACACACAATCAAACTACACCAAGAGTTGTGTTCAGTCACCACTGACCGAAAATGGGCATTGTCAGACCTGGGGAACGTAATTGTTGTAGTTTTGGTGTGACCTCGCATGATGTATCAATCGCAAACTTTAATTTACTATTTTGATGGCAATATAAGTTAGTTTAAGGTATGAGTCAATGGGTCGAAGCTGATTTTGTGAGCTCCCAGTAATTTGAAACTGTAACATTCGTCAAGGTATGCAAAATTCATGTTTTAACTTCTAAATGTGTGGCGTTTTTTTTTTAAAGGAGTGTCGGTTGTACAGTTATCGAAATGCTGACCGGAAAACCCCCTCTGAGTTATTTTCAAACAGAAGCAGCCAGGTCTAAAATTGCTTCAGGGCCCATCGATATCATGACTCTGGTGCCTCTGAATGTATCACAAGATGCAAGAGCGTTTATTGGGGCTGCCTTGAAGTGGTTGGTAATTGTTAATAGCAGAGTTAAACAAGTGGTTATGTAGCTAAAGAATGTATGGAAAAAAACATTGCAAACATTGCAAAAGGACGAAGGCAGGTGTCATTCAAACGGTGTTATTAAAGTGACATCACTACGATGCAGAAGCAGAAGCGGTGATTAGAAATTTGGAAAGTGAATATAAGTGTTGTCCGACCTTTGAAAATTGTGCTTACTGTAAGTCGTATTGTTTGTTTTTGTAGGAAACCTGACGAACGACCATCTTCCCCTGAGTTGCAACGCTACGCGTTCGTTACAAAATGGTAAGTAATAGTAACCAGTACTGGACCTACTGGAGAACAATTCAGGGAGTAATCGCGCAATTAATTTTAAAATCGGACAAGCACGCAGCCTGAGGCCGATTTGAGATTACATTATTTGCAAAAAACTTCGGACGTAGAAATTTCGGACGATTAATTTTCGGACACTTTATCTCATTTTGGACAAATTTCGGTCAGCAATTTCGGACACTGTGATGAAACATAGCTAAAGTAAATTTACGCCTACAAAACGCGAATTACACGGACGCTTAAAACTTTCGGACGGTTTTATTTTCGGACGCTTTTTTTGTCCGAAATTAAAATCGTCCGAAATCTTTGCAAGTAGTGTACGAACATGATTATTATCTAAAACTTACGGCACAAGCACTAATTACTAATTAATCATATCAATAACAGATTTCGAGATTAAAAGAGTCTTTTGAGGAATTTAAGTCCGATCTGTTTGCGCCTCATAATTGTTTCGACAAAAAAGACCGATTTTCCCGTACTAAGAAATTCGCATCTCCTTGGTTTGACGCAGCTCGATTTCCGCTTATTTAACGAGTGAAATTCAGTGCTGTTTTGTGGTTTTTGTGGCAGCCAAATTTTTTCAATGGCGGTCTCGTCCAAAGTAGTTGAAGAAAGGTACTGAGAAGGAAGAAGAAAAAATTAAAGTACAGGAAGTAGGCAAAGAGAAACTCAAAACCCTTCAGAGAACCGATTTAAAATATAAAATAATTTCCTGTATTCAGAGCGTTATAAAAGGTAGAACATTTATATTCGGCGCAGCCTAACTTCATCAGCCACTACCACAAAAATGTGAGTGATAAGAAGGGTTAAATCATGTTCATTAAGACTCGAGGGGGCTAAAATAGTGACACAAAAGTTGGCTTATTCGATTTAAAAATGTCCACCTTTGGACGAACGACGAGCATATCCACGAAAATACTGAAGCATTGGACAAACAACCAGCTAGACAAAGTCTTACAAGTATCTCAACTGAAACCGCAACAAAATTGGTTTGCAAAAACAGCTAGATCTCGTATTTCGTAGCTAGGCATGAAAGAATAAAAACTATCCGTACTCCAGTCTAGTCATTCGACAAGTTCAAATTCAATGCACAAGAAAGGCGACAAGCCGTATGTTTTATCATCCCCGTTAATTTCCTGACTGCAACCATGAGTATGCAAATTCTATTTTGCCGAAATTTTGAGATATTACTCACCCTGTTTATCGTTAACTGCGCCAAAAACTAGATAAATAAACAATAGCCTCCATTTGGCGCGAAAAAATATGTTGGGATATCTGTCCGCGGACATTATCCTGAACGTGCTATAACTTCAACTTCTATCGTTGATAAACGGAACTTACCATCAGGGGTCAAGGAACTACCTAAATGAGTTGGAATTGACTTTACGATTGTCTTTGTCTTTTCTTTTCTTCCTGGTCAGCGTTTAAGCAAAGACTCACAAACCTATCGGATCATAACTCTTGGTTCATGATATTATGAACGTTAACTTAGTCTATTTTGTTGTTTTCTCAGGTACCCTGTAACCTTTATATAAAGTGATGTAGCAAGTGTTCAGTTACCCAAACAAAATCGTTAATGGCGCAACTTTCCCCAACTTGCCATTTGAGTAAACGAACTTTATTTCGATCCCTCTACAGCCCTTACAAATATGTTCCTATTTGCTGGATTTTAAAGGTTTAAGTCATAATGCCAATGGGTTAGCGTTAGAGTCTGCTAAAAGGTCTCGGTCGGCTTGTAGTGAGTAAAATATCACCTAGTAGGGAAACGTTTTAAACATAATATACAAATGCAAAAATGGTTTAAGATTCAACATTTAAAGTTTAAAATGGTAGCTGGGTTTATTTGTGTGTAGTTCAGAAACAAAAAGCTAGTGAAAAATGAAACTCAGCATCAGAAGTCAAGGGATTTTTTCAACTTAAAGGAGAAGGTCACCCCAAAGAGCTTACTTTTTTGTCTCCACCTATAGCAAGTAAACAATGGGTTTTTCACTCACCAAAGTTTCAGCTTCTAAAGTGTCTGCTATCCTGAAGAAATTCGTCTCGAAAGAAGCCTAAAATTCCACTTTGGACGCCGCCATTTTGAAACTGCAATTGGCAACCAGGACGTGTTTATATGACGTCATTTCGTCCAACTCGAAATTGGCGAGAAGCAGAAAAACCTGCAGCTGACCTTGCATCCCTCGCATGGTCAGCAGCAAAATGTTTTCTTTTTTTCTTTTCAACCGATTATCCTCTTTACTATATTCACTGCTCGGTAGCCATGGACAAAATGCCTTGCACCGAATAACGTCACGAAAACGTGGCCTGGCTGATAAATACTGTTCAAAATGGCGGCAACGATGTCGAATTTTGGGCTTCTTTGGAGACGGATTTCATAAGGAAAACCTACACTTTGGTGAAAGGCTAAAGTTAGTACGAGGTTTTTATTAGCGTCGACAAAATAATACGTTTTTTTTGGAGTGAACTTCTGCTTTAAGCAGTTGATTTTAAATAGACTCAAACAGCTTTCTTTATTATTTTTCATGTTTTACATTTGATAGTTTTATTGTATCTCCTGAACTTTGAACTAGTTATGGCTATAGATAACACTTTCTTATGAAGCTTGCAATTGCAATTGGCAATTTATAGAAAGTCGAGTATGTGCTGGTTTAGTTGTATATCAGAAACACACTCTTGTATAATATGGCAGTTTTAGGTCGTGTGTAATTTAATTGTCTTTTGACAATGTCAACTCAAAACCATTTAAACATTGGTAACTACGAAAAAGGATGATTTCGTCTATTGTTAATTATTACTTACTTACTCTGATGAAAAAAGAACATTATTCTAATTAGTTTTAAGTAAAATTCGATGTCCCGGTATATAGCTCTTTATTTTTATATATACTCTTCGTGTTTTATTGATTTTGCAATTAGATAGATGTTTTTGTATAGTAGGATCACATCAGCTCTTTCTTTGGCTGCCATTACTAGCCTTCTCATCAAATAAAGTATGTATTAATTTGTATGTAAGGCTTTCTTCAGCTGTCGCTGAAACTTCACTTTGCTCTGAAGCCTTCTCCGTATAAACCATTCCCCAACCCCCCCTCTCCCCCAGCGCTAACTGTTTACAAAAGCAGAAAAAATAATCAGCGTCTAATAGCTTAGCGCTGGCATGTCATAAGAAATCAGGAGAGCGGTTTATATTGTAAGTTCTCGTATGAGAAGATCGTGAAAACGGTTAAACCATTATTATTTTTGATCTCCTTCCTTTATTTTCTCCCATCCTCATGCTCCCTAATGGAGTAGTAATGGAGTAGCCGCATCTTCTTCCTCCCCTTCCCCCACACCCCCCTCCCCCTCCAACCAAAAAAAAAAGCATTTAAGAAATAGAAAACATGGATCGTGTTTCTATCGAGTTTTAGTACTAGGTTCTATCACGAATGCCGTTCTCTTATTGGCTACGCTACTCACTATCTATTCTGTGGTAGATTGTGAGTAGCGTAGAAGTCCACACTTGTTAACAAAATGACGGCCACTTCTTGGCGTTTTCGAAGTGTCTGTGAAGAGGATTTAGATAAAGTTTAGAACGAGTAGTAGATTTATGCTAACGCAATTAGATTATTCGATCTCGATTTCTATCCGTGAAAGTTGACTCGGGCTTCGCCTTCGTCCACTATCACGGGAAAGAAATCGAGAGCGAATAATCTATAATTGCATAATAGAAACACGGTTTTAAACCAATCAGAGGACGTATTTGCTTTGAGTTATTTTCTAAACTGAGATAGTAAATGAATACATATCTTAGCTAAAAAAAGATAATTAAAATACAGTGGAAGCTCTTTTACCAGACATTCCCGTAAACGGACAGCTCTTCTAACGACTGCCTTCACATAATCCCGTTTGAGCTCCCATGCAAACTCTGTATTTGTTCATTTCCGCAAACGGACAATCTCATAAGCGGCTGCGGACACTTTGAGCCGGGCTTACGATCTAGGCTTTTCCTTTATTTTAAGCGGCCAGCTCCAGTTACGGACAGCTTTTTCGCGTTCCGAGGGTGTCCGCCTACGAGGGCTTCCACTGTATATTGTTGGTGTGAATTTTGTTTTTTGTTCCGGTTTTTCATAGTTTGTTAAAATGTTTTCACCCCCTACAAAAATCATGGATCCGCTTCTGCTCCAATTAAAATTATTCCCCCTCCCTCGTAATTTTGACACCACCTTGCCCCCTAAAATGTATTGAAGGGAAAACAAGGCCCTTCTTAGGCTAAATGTAGGCCACACATGGCACAGCAGTATCAGTACGAAAGGCCGATGCCTCAGCTACATTGAATTACGGTTCATTCAAACGGAACACTTTTCCGTCTACCTTCTTGCAAAACTATCTCTCTTTCAAGAAACTCTAATAGTTTAGAGCCATCATATTTTATTACCTTTTTACTGCTGAGTGAAGACCTTTGAAATAGTCGCTCAAATAATCTGTTCGGTTAGCTTGAGACATGAAAAAAGTAAAGCTAGCAATAAAAAGCTACACCAACATCTTTTACACTGTTTCTACAACGATATTTTTTTTATGGTTTGATCTGTCATCGGATTGGTCAGCAGTAGTTTAAAAACCAAATCGTACGTGCATGCCGCCTTTGGATTCGTTGGTAGAGCAATATTTTTCTACCTGACTATCGAGATTTAGTATCACCCAACTAGTGGACTAATGCAAATCCTGCATTTTGATTGGCTACGCTACTAGGGGACTATTAGTAATAGTCATCGAGCAGCGAAATTGGCGCCATCGAGCGTGACGCTNGCCTCATGGGCTATTGACCCGTAGCCCTTGCGGGCTACGGGTCTAATTGTTAATTAAAACCCAGGCTATAACATTCTGTGGTTATACTACCACCGCCCCATTTGCTCGTGTCCGAGATTAAAAAAAAAAACAAAACCAAAACGTTTTTTCGTTCAGAAGAAATAAGACCTTTTTATGAACCAAATCAAAAGATAGACACAACTGAGGCCTCGTCGACGCTAAGCCGCAGAAATTTGAAGACGCCATTTTCATTCTGAAAACGCATCAAATCTTTTCCGCCATACTACGCCGGATAAAATTTGAAAACGCAACAATCACCGGTCATTTTGGATTTGTGTTTGAGGAAAACTCTAGCTGGGAAATCACATGTTTACTGCGTGTTGCCATCGTTTTCGAAAAGATTCTTTTTCAAAACGTCATCTGTTCACACTAGGGACTTAAGATACGAGGAAGGGAAGGCCAGGACGGCAACGGCAGTGGACGCGGGAAACTTTCGCGGATCCCGTAGTGTCGCCAAAAACAAAATGCTTAAGATGTGCATTTTCGAAAAGGACGGCGACGTCAATAATTCGAACCTCGTACAAGCTATTCACAGAAGCATTGACATCCATTAGACTATAAAAGAGATGATAGAAATCTTATCCTATTAGGCTTAAACGATAGTGAACAGCGATGCTGAATTTGTTTTTCTGTATAAGTGAAGCAAACATCTGTCAATATTTTAATAGAGAAACCATAATTTCCGTATGAAAAATTAAACGAACAATCTGATCGACCTGCTTCAGAT